TTAGACTTGGCAATTTATTGCTTTTTTACTTGTTGCTTTTTCATCGGTACTTTATGTATTGTCAGCATGATAGAGCGACAAGGAGAGAACGATTGTTAATTCTTGGCTTACGTTATCTTTTAGTAATTGCAAATTTATAGAGCGACAAGTATGCTATTTTGATTTCTTTTCGATTATATCGATATTATTGTGTAAAAATATCTGCTACATAAATACTGATAATATGAAAGCATTTACAAGAAATATGTGATGGCTCAGTGCAAGAGTGTTCAATCTATCATGCAGTAAACTCAAGTTCAATACCACAGACATCTTAACAAAATTTTTTTATATTTTTTGTTATATAAAACCCTTAAAAAAATATAGAAGAGAATGTGAAAAAAAGTAGATAAAAGAATGTATCAATACATATATATTACCATGTGAGTTCACATCAGTAAAAAAAAATATATATATATAAACGTACTCATATATATATATATATATATATATATATTACGAACTTGAATAATAATACTGCTTGTGCAAACTTTCTATCCATAAATATCTGAGATATTTACGCATAAAAAAAGACACCTATACTATTATTTTCATATACATGACATTACGAAATAAATCCAAAAGATCTCGTCAAATAGTAAGCGAGTTGTCGCAAATGTTCCATTCGTCGCGTAGCAAAGATGCTTGCTCCGAAAACTTTGATAAAGCTGTTAGATCTTCTCGACGAGGAAAATCTGGACACCAGCCTGGAAAGTCTCTGCAATCAGCTGCACCAAAGCTTTTCTAAGGAAGATCGCTTCAAGGTTGGAACAGTAGTATTGCTACAGTTACAGCATGTTGATTTGTTGCCAAAGCATGTTCAACGTGTCATAGCGTTAACACTGCTGTTCGATCTGTATAAAGGAGAACCATTAGCTTCCACGCCTTTCGCCAGTGTATTCGTGCAGGTTCTAAAGCAAGAAGACACTAATAATGGAAATTCAAAACTGCCCAATCACACAGGTCATATACCATTTCTATCTCATTGCGAGAAGAATTTGTTGGTTAATTTACTGGGATACAATCATAAGGACATTATAAAGAAAACACCTCGTCAGATTGTAGACGAATTTTCCTTTGTCTCTGTGCCATCTATCAATTTAACTAACTTACAATTGCAATTGGTGGAACATCAATCCGAACTACCCTCTGTTAGTAAATGCGGGAATCCTGTTATTCTACCCGATATAGATCATTCTAAAGAGACAGAATTTGATGAAAAGACTGTGAGAAATATAACGGAAAGCCTTACTGTCGGTGATCCGCCTTTATGCAGACAAAGCTATCGTCCTGAATTTTTGAGGCTAGTGCCACCTCTTTATCATTCCATCAATGAAATAGCTTGGTTCAATGTCACGGAACCGACGCAATTTACAATTGAATATGATACTAGCATGTGTGTGTCGAACTGCGCTGGTGCAGAAGCTCGTAAACTAATGGGCAAGGCTTTCAAGGGTGTACTAACATTGCCGCAACAGCAACATCTGGTCAATGAATTGGAGAACGATCCGAAGCTCGTTTATCATATTGGACTTACACCCTGCAAATTACCAGATTTAGTTGAGAATAATCCTCTAATTGCCATTGAAGTTTTATTAAAATTGATGCAATCTAGCCAAATCACCGAATATTTCAGCGTCTTAGTAAACATGGAAATGTCCCTTCATTCTATGGAAGTTGTAAATAGATTAACCACCACGGTGGATCTACCAACGGAATTTGTACATTTATATGTCAGCAATTGTATATCCACTTGCGAAACTATTAAGGATCGTTATATGCAAAGCCGGTTGGTACGACTCGTTTGTGTGTTTTTACAATCCTTGATAAGGAACAAGATCATAAATGTACAAGAACTGTTTATTGAAGTCCAAGCATTTTGTATTGAATTTAGTCGAATCAGAGAAGCTGCTGCATTATTCCGACTCCTAAAACAACTTGAATCCGGTGATACTGGTGGACTTAATGCTTCATCTACAAAAAATAAAATAGATATGTATTAATATATTATCATGCTTATAAATACCATCTAGAGCATATATATCATCAACAAATTATTATTAGCTAATTATTTAATTGTATATCATATTATATTTATGTATTATATTCTCTTTTACATGGCATCTAACTAGATTGAATATAAGATGATAATATTATGAATTAAATCAAAACACACTCAAGTATAATAAATATTTTTTTAAATTTATATATATGTGTATGTATATATAAATTTTATAAAGAAAAGAAAAAATGATTTAAATATCATATACTTATATAAGTAGAGATTAAATTCGTTATATATATAAAACATTGGGAATAATATATTTCAATTTTTGAATGTGTTTCTAATCTAGAATTTACAATATTTCTGTATTCATAACATACATACTAGCATGTAATAAAACAAATAAATGCCTTGCTTATGTCAATAATGATAATTTATTTAAATTATTAAAATTTTTTTCACATTCATATCTATTGTATCTCAAATTTTACAAGTACAAAACAGAAGATTACAATAATATTGCAATCAATACAATTTTGCGTTTCATATACATTCTATAAATATTTTATTTATTAATATATGTACAATTCATAATATTGATCGGTTTGCGATAAGCTTCTATTTTAATATATGTTTACAATTTGCGTTGTAGGAAAAAATATATAATTGGATAAATTTCTAACATATACATGTTCAAATACAGATTTTATGTAACAAATTGTAATTACAAATATCCATAATCTGTTATAATTAGATCGATATAATTAATATAGATATTTATGATCCCAATTGATCAAACAAAAAGAATTTAGGATAAATTATATTAGATTGTAATTGATGGAGGCGTTTGTCTTATTGTTATTAATTTAACTAATAATTTTGTTTATTATCCAATGTATTTCTCATCAGTTGTACCATTTATAAATATTATGAATACATCTCACGAGGAACATTCACAAAGTGTTGCGTCTATTTTCGAAAAATGTATTATTTTTAAGAGGTGCTAGCCGAGACAAGTTCAACAATGTAACGTTGCCGTTCCAAATGAGATGTGCCAAAAATTAAAGATCGAATTTTGAGCGAAATATGAAAAATATAAATTATGATTTTACTACTGAATGCCNNATGCCGAGTTTTTTCTTTTGATTTAAAGTTTTGAATACGCGTACTTTTTTGCTAAAAGTGCATCCCAAGAGTAGTATACTTTATTCATTACCTATGTTCATTCTTGTCTAGTCTTGTAATGGCCTAGTCAATGCGTTAAACATTCCAATATTATATAATATATAATAATTTCTTTTATTTTGTCACACTCTTGCTATGTTTATATCGAGATGTCTATTCTAATTGTGTATTGTATGTGCTCTATTTTTAAATCAGCTTCTTACATTTTGATAACAATTTTTTTTCTATAGATCCATATTTAGCCCAAAATGCGATCATCGATTTTTCGCACATCTTATGTGGGACAGTAATATTATATAATTGTTGGACTTGTCTCAATTATAGCATTTGTCACAAATACATACATCCTTCGAAAGTAGATATAAAACTTTGTGATCCCTTATCAGAATTAAACAATATTTAACATCTTATACATGCAACATAATTAACATATATATAATTAGAGTATAATTATAATAGTAGAGTACAATTATAATAATAAACACACACACACACATACTATAATTATAGTGCTATAAGTATAATTACTATAATTATATTAATATATAAATTAAAAATAAAATCACAGCATTACACAATAAAGTCGCTATTAAAATGTTTCATCATTTATTTTATCTGCAAACTATTGTATACCTCTCATCAGTAATCATATATTTACATTAAAAAAAAAGAGAGAAAATATATAATTATCTATGTTATCCATGATGACTAATATGGTTTTTACACGTTATAAATTTACATAACATATATGCATTAAAAATAGATATAATTTTACTTTTTTTTTTTTTAAGTATGTTCTATGTTAAGTCTGCCAAAAGCAGTGATAGTATCAGGAAATAATATGATTTGAATAGAGCTAAGAAAATATACTACAAATTTATCACGCTGTGTAATAAATCACATATTCTGTGTGACCAAATGCATAATCGTGTATACAAAATAGAAAACTGAAGATCTTTACAAAACCTGTAGAATATCCATACTCTTAACGACGTTTGTATGTGTTGATATCTTATTTTTTAATGAATATAATATCAACATAAAAATATATACAGAGTGTTTCAAAAGTGGAGATCAATCGTTCGGAACGTGTGCTCGTTCGGCTGCATTGTTTTCGAGTTAACACCATTTTTATGTTGAAATTTCAGTTTTATTTTCGAATTTTTTTGTTAAAATTGAAAGAAGAGTTGGTTTTGTATTTATTTATTTTATTTTATTTATTTATTTATATTTTTTATTATTTTCTTTTTCTTTTTTTTATCCTGGGTAGTGCTAAAACAGTCCACAACTTTTATTTGGCTTTAATTATGTTATAAAACTCATAAAAACTATCTCTTCTTTCAATCTTGACAAAAAAATTCGAAAGCAAAGCAATTTGAAATTTCAATATAAAAATGATGATAACTCGAAAACAATGCATTTCCAGACCTATGTTCATACCAACTTTTTTTCTTCTTTTTGGATCTCCAATCACCTCGAGCGATTGACCTCCACTTTTGAAACACCCTATATAGTTAATGCAGTACAGGGTATTATTAAATACAACTAGTATAGAATAGAATCATTTACATTTGTCCTACAGTTTAGAAAATAACTTCCACTATTTAAATTGCACTGCATAATATAACAATTGTTTTTATTTCTTTTTTACAGCTTTTACTTTCACTATGTTCTTTGCAGTCTTTCCTTTAGTCATGATCGATTTTCCCTTCATTTGTATCTTAACATCATTCTTGGACACCTTTTTCATTTTTACGCTTTTAACGCCAATTTTGTTGTCTTTTGCTTTAACTTTGGTAGTGAATGGTATGGTAACACCGGGTCTCACGCAGTTAGACCCGGTTGGCTTATACTAGGCCGTTACTTTAACTTTTTTCTTTCGCTTTTTTTTCTTTTTATCATGGAGAAGTTCCTGTTTTTTCGCTATACAAAATCGACAGTACCAATCTTCATCATCAGCTGGTGGAACCTGCATACCAACACACACCCTGCAAAATATAGAAAATATTATTAATTTATTGCATATATATTAAATACACAAAATTAATGGTTTTATCTCATATTGAAATATATACAGTATACATAAATCTATAACGAGTTATTTACCAATGATACCACGCATCACAATCATCGCAGCCAATCATTGGTGAACCATCATCCTGGTTGCCGCATGCGGGACATATCCATACTTGACGACCTCCTCGATCCTGTAACACTCATCTCAAGATAAACAGAACAGAACTTGGAGATTTTTTTGGCTAACCCAACCCATCTTGATGAATTTATTCTAGAGATTTAAGAGTAGAAAATTGTTCAAGTACATTCGCCAACATCGGATCGATTATTCAAGTGGTCTTTTTTTGTTTTGTAGTTTCTTAATAATATTCTGGCTTTGATTTTGCAGAGAAATATAGTCAATAGACTTCATATATTTTGTCAAACTATCTACGAATAATCTTATCCATCAAAAAGAAATATTTTTAATATAACAATGAGATATTATGTAATATTTGAAAATACGTTTTTGTATTATTTCAAAATTTCTTGAGTCTTAAATAATATGTGGGACTAATGTATTTTGATGAAATGATGATTTACAATGGCACATGTATCGAGAGATGAACTTGTCTCTTCTTTTTTAATATTTGATATGCATATGTGTATATTCTTTAAATCATATTCTAGCTTTTTATGTGTAAATCCTTTAAAACAGTTAACGAGACGAGATATTTCAATATCTATATATATATTTTTTTGCATTATGTTATATCATATGATGTATACATCATGTTAAAACATAAGCGTATTATAAAGTATAAAACTAATTATTCATAACTTTGGTGAACAGAAAATGCCTTGCAACATTCTTTGAAAGGGGTATAAAGCGTACTCACCACAGTAGTGGCTGGTGTTGTAGGCAACATGTTCCTGCCATTTTCTTTGTCTTCTTTAGCATCATCCTTTTTAGTAACTGGATCTGCTTTCACCTCTGTACCGTTAAAACCGTCAGTTATATTCCTAACGGGCCTTTGATGCTAAATTCTTTTATGGAACGTGCAAATCTCATGCAATGGTCTAATTTTATACTTTCTGCTGTTTTTATTAATGTAAATATGTTTTTATTAATGTAAACTCTAATAAACTATGTATCGGTAAATCGTAAATATATATATTTCTGATTAAATAAAGAAATAAACGAGTAAAAACATTTCTTATCATTATATTTTGACCAAATTCTCATAAAAGTAAAGTTTAGAAATAAAAAACACCTAAAAGTTACATTTCTAATTTATAAAAAATGCATGCTCTAATACTACTAATTAATAGGCAAACAGCAAATTCAGAGATAGCACATAAATCTTAAAAATAGTATCTTATAAATATTTGTATAGAAGAATATATACGTATGCACTAATGCAACTACAAACTTGCTAAATAGAGAAGAGAAATTAATGAGAAGCTTGGGCACATATTATTAATTAACATAACTCAGATATATAAAAAAATTACTTCCTTTTTGTGGCATATACAAAAATATTAAAAAGAAACTATGTTATTAATTATTAAACTATATATATCATTAATAATATATTATTAATTAATATATTATATATTATTAATACACCAAATAAGTGGTGTAAAATTTATATGATAACAATTTAGTTACACATACATTATCTTTATATTAGAGGTAAAATGATATATTCGATATACATATATGATATCACAATTACAATATACATATATTTATAGTAATATCTCTATAAACTCTGCATTTTTCTTGTATAGTACATGTAAATATTTGTTCGTTAAATTCATTAGAATATTATTTGTTATTTTATCATATATTAATCATTTAAATTTGTAATAATAAGAAGAGACAAGTATAATATATACTAATGTTGTATATGAGTATCATGTAGTTTAAAATATATTAATATAATAAACGTGATAAAATGATGAAGACCAATGCTTTCTTATTCTTAAAATGTATATCTGATTCAATATTACTTATTCAATGAAGAACTTTATATTTGCAAAGAAGAGACATGTTTATTTGCAAATGAAGAAATGCTTACATTTGCATATGTGCAGCAATCAATTCTATAAATAGCAAACTCAAAAAATTTGCCATGCCATTCAAATAAGATTTATATACATTTAAAATATCCCAAAATATAACAAATCGATTAAAGCAGAAGATGGATAAAAAGAGCCCATTTCTACTTAAAAAGCAGAACAAAAGTTATACATATATAATCTTGTGTTTTTTAAATCACAGAATATGTCGATATTCGGCAAAAAATCATCGGAAGCAAAAAATTAAGAAAGCATTTTGAAGTTTGAAATTTCGATTGCAACATACTATTAATAGTTTATAT